GTGGGTTTAGGGTGCTGAGTACTGTATAGTGGTGATGTCCCAGCCCCCTCCTTTGTTGCATCACTGCATAACATTGAATAAATACCCAATACACTTCTAAACAAAGACCAAAATCCAAGATTTAGAGTTTCGGTCTACAAAGATATATTTAGTCTAACCTAACCTAACCAAACTTTACCTATCCTAACCTAACTTTACCTGACCTGACCTGACCTGACCTGACCTAACCTGACCTAATCTAACCAAAGCTAACTTAACCCATTTATCTTGTAGACCGCACGCTATAGTAACACCAGAATTTCTTGCCTCGTCCTTCTTGAACTCTTGGCATATGTGGCTTAACTCGTTCAAGAAGTGCATGGATGCATTCCTCAGACAGTCTATACCTCTTGATGAACTCCTCCTCAGAGAGATGAGCAAAAGGATTTTGATGGTTTCTAATTACAATACCAGAATGCTATAATGCCAGCCTGAAAAAACAAAATCTAATATCTATTATATTATCTATATATTGCGGTAACTACTGTACATAAGATAAATTACGTTTAACAATAGTTTACAAGTGTGTTACATAGCTGTTACAGAGAATTTCTTCAAGAAATTTGTCCATAGTATATTTAACTTTTGTTTATTGTTGTTCCGGTGATGTAAGATATGACTGACACGATTTAAATCGAGTGATTGAAAACACCATTAATCAATTTGGGCACTTTTTTCGAACCCTGAGTTCGGACATTTCATCTAAAAAAATATTTTACGTAACCTAATGTAAACTTACAAATATTGGTAGTACCTAAACACAACCGTCACAACAACCCAAACAGTGAAATATAGCAGAAGAAATTTTTCCCATGGTAATTATCAGCGTGGGTCACAGATGACACTTATTGTACACTATTACCTCATCAACCTACCTAGTATATTTGGCTCATCTTATATCTTTCCTATATAATATATTGGCGAATTGGAAATGGCATTACGTCTATCTATCACAAAGAAAAATGCGTTTTGAACATACTTGAAGCTATAAGAGGATGAGTGTAGGAATGCAATGCTTGATAAAAACGGAGAAGGGCGGTGGGGTGATGAAAAATCTTCGGAGTTGAAGGTAAGACATCACGGGGGGAGACGGCGGTCTTCTAAAAATATATACATTTCCATTGGAACCGGTTATTTGGATACTTAAATATTTGTTTTATTAATTATCTCATCTTAATTTACATATATTATATTTTAGAGATGTTTTCTATTCATATATAACTAGTTTGAACATTCGGGTGCCTACCCACACCTGAGGACTTTTCCCGAACTTTCCAATAATATTGTCGGACTACCAAATGGTAACCCGACAAAATTTGGTTTAAAAAAATGGATTAGCACTCGGAGGGCTTTTCCGGGTTATTAATAAGTAACCCGAAAGTTTAAAAAAATGGCCGTCACAGTTGATTCGACCAAGAAAAGCCCAACAAAGCCACCATGTGCGTTTACCCACCTAACTGCGTGACTCACTAATCCATCTTAACCTTATCACTAAGGCTTAGACTAAAACTGATTCTTAATTAAAACTACGGTGGTTATTTTCATAAAACACAGAGTGTGATTCTTAATGGTTCCTACGATATTTTTTTCTCGGATCACAGCCTCAGTTACTGTATGGTAATCTAATTCAGGAACATATGAGATTCTAAATTTGTGCTACAGTTGAGTTAAAGAAGCTAGGAGCTGTTCTCACATCCTCAGGTAACGGAAGCCATCGCATATACATCTGAGAATACAACTCTGTATTGTAGTTGAGTGAGCCAGTTAAGATATGTCCTCACAGTGTGCTATAGGCTACATCCCTCTCGAATACAAGGAACGTACCCGGATTTGACGGAAGTAGAGAGTTCACCCCTGAGTATTCTGCCTGGAAGGAGGAAACGTAGGCGGCATAATCGACACGATTTATTGAAATGGAGGAAAATTATCAGGTTTACTAGTGTTGACAGGAGGTGCTAGTAGTCGACAAGAAAAAGTCAGGTTTTTTTTTTTTTGTAGGCGTCACTCTCCTACTGAAACCTGCTGTAGCCAATTTTCGAGCCGCCTCTATAGTGTTTTAGTGGATTTGAAATTATTTTAACATACCATTATATGTTTAGTGGAGCCTATACCTGTTATAACACAACATAACATTTTAAATTATTGCAGTGTGTGTGTGTGTGTGTGTGTGTGTGTGTGTGTGTGTGTGTGTGTGTGTGTGTGTGTGTGAGGTGTGTGTTGCAGAGTGGCTCAGTTGCTGATACACAAGGTAAAAAAGGGAGGAGGGAAGAAAGGGAAGTAAGAAAGGTTAATGAGTTACTTCCTTGTCAGCTGCTAGTAGACACCTCCGCCTTCACCGGACACCTGTGACGCGTTAATGTTCTGTAAGTATGAGATAATACGATTTCAACACATTTTCGACTACACGTTCCGTTCGTCAAATCACAAAAAAAGTTATGCAGTATATTACAGTGTATATATAAAGTAATTTGTTATCCTCAACTTCGTTTTAGTTTCCATAGGAAAGAAGAAATTAGTTTTTTGGGGGGGGTTATGCTTCCAATTAACGTATCTGAATATTTACAGTAGATGCTACAATAAGACAAACAAACAGAAAAAAATTCAAGCTACCATATAGACACCGGATTTTTTTTTCGGATTTCTGGAGCATACATAAACACCCGGCGATTTTGTTTGCGATATAAGTTGAAATATATAATTAAGTCATATATTCTATTTATATACTTTTGGGTTTTCTTCGTCAATGAACTCAAATTCTGCATTATAATTTTTTCTATCCATTTATTTTATAATATGAAACACTTGCTTTGTTGGCGTCACTGATCTGTTATCAACACCTTCATTGGGCATTCGTAACAATTCTCTTTCTTAAATTCCTAAAATACTGTAGCTCAGAAAATCAGATCACAATTGTAGCATAACATTTTAAGAATATAGTAGCTCATAATTTTAGCTGACAATTTTAAAATACTGTACAGTAGCTCACAAACACTTGGATTTGTAGTTAGTGTTCGTCTCTAAGGTGTCAGCTGATGCGCTACACCTCATAATTTACCTTCTATAATAATTAGCTCTAATTTGAACGCACATGTATCGATGACGTCATGTATTTTAGGGAAGGTTAGCCCTATATAAGGGCAGGAGGTCGCCAGGGACGCCCACTCTTGTCTCTGCCAGCCACTGAGCAAAGCCATGCTGTTCGGCGCCCTGCTTGTCCTACTGGCTGTGACCTCCACGAACGGGCTCCTCACTGGCAGGCCCAACCCCGAGAGGCCAACAAGAATAGAGGTAAGACTTCTGGGATCCGGCATCCAGTTAAGCAGGTCAAACTCTTGGAGGGTAGAGCGAGTAAGTTAAATCTTTTGTTCACCAGCACTGAGAGGCTACTACGAGTATATGTTAAGCTTTTGACCTACAGCACGACTCGACAATCAGGAAAAAAACCCAGGCCCGAAGTCGAAAGTACAGTGCAAGTAGAGGTCAGAGTCGTGGCCTCCCAGTATAATATGTAGACGGTGAGGCTTCAACACTGGCAGTCGGATTCGTGGTTTCCTAGTTTGCCAGGGTAGAGGCCGGATTGAGGGCGCGTTTACACGAGGCAGGTTATTTGATCCAAGGGCTGGGCGATATCAACTAGAGTCTTACTCGCGTTGTGTCAACGACTAGCCGCGAGTAACTTGCCCCTAGAGCTAGTTGACTCGTAGATTTCCACTTGCCTGTAAGTTGGTAGTCATTCAACTTTCAGTCACTAGTGTGTTAGTGCAGTGGGTAGCTGTAATTAGCAGCGCTGGGTGTTTGACTCATAACAGTGTTCAGTGCAGTTTGAAATGTATCTTATTACATATTTTATGTTTATAGGTTCAGATAAATGTTTAATCTTGAAGCCAACTAATCTGTGACTCACGCAGCTACATATTCATCTGCGGTTTAATGATTTCTTGAGTCCATTGTGGTGTACTGTTTTTTTTTTTCTGAGTAGGGCTAAATATAATGGTTATAAGGTCCAAAACTTGCACGTGACTTAAATTTTATTGGAAGAAATATACATATATATTTTTTAGACTAAACCGGACGGCACCACTACGGGTGCGAGTAGACACCACGTGTCAACAGCCACTAATACGCTAGTGCTGCAGTACAAAGACTTCTCTCACTCGACTCCTGAGCTGGCATATCATTAGCGAGCTTTTTTGTGTAAACGCCTCCCAAACAGAGTTCGTACAACTTTTAAGATACGCCAAGCGCACCGCACAAGTCAATATATATATATATATATATATATATATATATATATATATATATATATATATATATATATATATATATATATATATAATTTTTATCTCTTTACAGTATTCTCATCTTCCTTGGTCAATTACTTCAGGGTCGGGCAATAGAGAAGGCGGTGCGTTGGGTACAGCTTATGTCATGTCGTTAAAAAGAAAAGATTAAAATACTGTAACGGAAAAAATAAAAGGCCTCGTAATGGATTAACAAATATTAAAAAAATCTCTCCTAAACTTAAAATCATAAAGCGTCCTTTGAACAGTCTACTGTATATATTTTTCAGTTAAACTTTCTTTGGGCATATTTATGTTTTTTTTCGGAGATTAGCCAACGCGGGCACAGGTCACTGACCCACATCAGGCATGGGAAATGTGTAATAGTAAAATATAAGTAAAAATAATAATAATAATAATAATAAATAATAATAAAATAAAGAACTATAAAGAAATACATATGAAAAAAAGATCAAGAGTGAGAAACAATATATGTATGTTGTGTTGTCAATAGTACGAGAAACAATTGAAACCCTGCAATTGTGTGTAAAGGAGGGAGAAAGTCAGATCAGCAACCTTTGACTTCGTCACAATTTTCATGATGCCATATGGCAGCAGGGTCTACCATTAGACAATACATTATGCTTCCAGTATCTTCCCATATATTGTAGCTTAAAGTACAGTCAGGGGCAAAAGTTCGCTTCCGGTGGTGAAACTGAGTCACGGGAATGAGTCTCCGAACTGACTTACCCTGACTGTTTCATCTCATTTGGGGTAGATGTTCCTTCATTTTGGGCGGGAGCGAACTTTTGACCCCGACACTTCCTCGCTCCATTAGATGTAAGATCTCGTTGATGACTGTATATGGACAGTGCAGGTATATAAACACTGTATATGGACAGTGCAGGTATATAAACACTGTATATGGACAGTGCAGGTATATAAACACTGTATATGGACAGTGCAGGTATATAAACACTGTATATGGACAGTGCAGGTATATAAACACTGTATATGGACAGTGCAGGTATATAAACACTGTATATGGACAATGCAGGTATACAAACGATGTACAATCAGAAACCATAATCTCTAGCCCACCTGGGTCGGTGCTGGAGGTTAGAACAGTGTCCTTTCTGGACGGGGGCCCACTCTAACTATCACGAGGCAACACACGCACGAACACACACAGTCATAGTACGTCTGTATAGATGACATTATGTATAAGTATTGTTTATGGCATTTTATATACTGCATTATCTTCATACACGCGTAGGCTACCAATGTGAGAAATGACTCAGGGGCCTTTTGAAACACTTCGTTTGTAGTGTCAGTTTGTTTCGTGGAGGAATTGCAACGGCAGTTTTTTTACCGAGTGTACAGTCTCGTTCAAGATTCTTCAAACACTGCTGGAGACAGCTGGCAACTCCAGGCCGTTTGTTTACTATAGTATGGAGCATAATATAATACGAAACAACAAATCCCAACCATTAAATTAAGCAACGGGGAACTAAGTAACCAATCACCGATCACTTTTACATTTATTCATAATTTTTACCAGGTACTATAGTAAACAAACGGCCTTGAGTTGCCAGCAGTCTCCAGCAGTGTTCGAAGAATCTTGAACGAGACTGTACATAGACTGTACATACAAACAATGCACATAGACCGTGTAGGAATACAAACAAAGTACAATGTAGGTATGAAAATAATGTACTGTACATTGACACTGCAGGTATACAAATAATGTACAGAGACAGTGCAAGGTGGGGTCCGATGGACGTCAAAATGAAAAATACAACTCCCGCTGTCTCGGAAGAGATGACCAAGTCCTTCGCCCATTGTGTCACATTGTCTCGCAAAAAGAAAAAAAAATTGGCGCGGAGTGCGTGACAATATGAACACGGCAAAAGACCTGTCCGCGACCCTTAAAAAATGTAAAGAGCAAGAGAAAAAGGGAAAAAGAAAATCAACCTCTTCATTAACATTAAAGAAACTCATCATTACAACCTCTGAAGTTTTTAACATCCCTCTCCACACCCACCACGACTACCACTAATGATCATCTCATGAGTTTGAATGGGAAAAGTATTGCAAACTGCCTCTTGACTTAATAAACATCTAAGCTGTCTAAATTTATCAAGTGTAATGTAAGGCTATGACTTGCTTAGTTTTCGCAATATGCCTAAGCTCCCGTTTGATTAAATTATATAGGATCGTGCTGGAATGTGTATGTGATGGTGTTAGTCTAAGTATGTATGTGATGGTGTTAGTCTACCTGTGTGTGTGTGATGGTGTTAGTCTTCCTGTGTGTGTGATGGTGTTAGCCTTCCTGTGTGTGTGATGGTGTTAGTGTACCTGGGTGCGTGTGATGGTGTTAGTCTACGTATGTATGTGATGGTGTTAGTCTACCTGTGTGTGTGTGATGGTGTTAGTGTACCTGGGTGCGTGTGATGGTGTTAGTCTACGTATGTATGTGATGGTGTTAGTGTACCTGGGTGCGTGTGATGGTGTTAGTCTACCTGTGTGTGTGTGATGGTGTATGTCTACCTGTGTGTGTGTGATGGTGTTAGTCTACCTGTGTGTGTGTGATGGTGTTAGTCTACCTGTGTGTAATGGTGTTAGTCTACCTGTGTGTGTGTGTATAATAATAACAATAATAATAATAATAATAATTAACAGTTTACTGAAAAAGTTCTGCAGCCCGAAGGCTGAAAATATTCATTGGACATAATTGACTTATTTCATACAATGACATTGGTGGTTTAACAAAAGCTTTCATTAGAGAAAGGTAAAGGAATATACAGTGAACATACAGGTTAATTTTTACAGTGGAGGTCACGTAGAACATGTGAGCTGAGGTGTTGAATAGCAGACACGTAGTGTAGTAACTCCCTCACAGATGGTGTTATGAGGGACCTAACAGGGTTTAGTAATTCCCTCACAGATGGTGTTATGAGGGGCTTGACGTGGTGTAGTAATTCCTTCGCAGATGGTGTCATGAGGGGCTTGACGTGGTGTAGTAATTTTCTCACGGATGGTGTTATGAGGGACCTGACGTGGTGTAGTAATTCCCTCACAGATGGTGTTATGAGGGACCTCATGTGGTGTAGTAATTCCCTCAGAGTTGGTGCTATGAGGACCCTCACGTGGTGTAGTAATTCCCTCACAGATAGTTGTAATGAGGGGCTTGACGTGGTGAAGTAAGTCCCTCACAGATGGTGCTATGAGGGGCTTGATGTGGCGTAGTAATTCCCTCACAGATGGTGTGTGTGTGTGTGTGTGTAATAAACATATACATAATAAATTAACGGTTTATTGAAAGGGCATGGCAGCGGAAGGCTGAAAATATACAGTTACATAATTGGAGAATGGGTCTCTTGATTTACAAATAATATACAGGTAAATATAAGTGATACAAATATGATATATAATAACTAGGTGGGGAGAAGCCAAACTACAGGGCATTTCAACATTGTGACAGTGCAAAAAGTAAGATTAACTGGGAGCGAATACACTGGTTGACTACAAGTAAATGATAATTTTTTAAATGGTTGGGACTGGGCTGTTCTTATCGCGATCAGTTCGTGCTCGTATGGGCTGGATGCGGTAGTGGTGTCGAACAGCATTTCTCGGACGAGGGATCTCGGGTGGTAGTAGGAGCCGGTGTCGAGGATGGTGCAAAAGCTTCTCACCAAATTTGCAAATGAGGTAGTGGTGATAGCCAGCGAGAGCCGAGAGGGTCAGTGTGTTGAGCGCTTCTTGATATGTGGAGTAGGAGGGAGAGAAAATCTTGCATGTGTGTGTATATGTGTGTGTGTGTGCAGGGTGGTGTAATACGTCTAGTGTGGCAGCATTATGTAAGTGTTAAGGTGAAAGCTCTGCTTACTTCCTCTCGCTCTCAGATACTGCCACTGGCTAACCTTAGTGGTTAACAAGCAACCAACCTTGCGTAAGTCTTCCCCTGCCAGTACACAGCCTCTTCACCATCAAGACTACTGCGGTGCCTCCTCGTGGCAACACACGATAACTGGGTGTCTCACGTTCCCAGGCTAGACCCATAGGGGCTCTCAGAGCAGCAGGCCCCTACTAACCACTGCCATGCTTGGGGATTAACCTTGGTAGGTATAAGGCTACGGAAGTAAACCCCAAAGAAAAAATCTGAGGTGGCTCCAAGCATCAGGCAGATAATGCTTACAGGCCTCCAGTATGACCCCAACGGCGGAAAAGGCAGAAAAGGTGACCAACATGGAAACCCAACGACTAGACCAGTGGATGAAGGCAATGCAACGATAAACAGGCTACTAAAGCGAAATCCGACAAACTGTCCCTTTAACCATTGATTCTAGATGAGTTAATGGGGCTGGAACAAGTAAAAGTATAAGTTTTAGTAGCAAAACCAAACTGTCTTTCTTCTATTTATTATTAAAATATATTATATACAGTTCCAAGTGTATATCACCGTAACTTAATCACTGTAGCTATGAGTGTTAAATGAGGACGGAGGCTATGTTAAATAGCTCTTCTAAAATACGTCCTGTTGGGGTGAGGGGTTGAGTAAGAGTGCCTGTAATACCTGTCGAGGGAGAACGGTAATATGACCAACGTCTTCCTCGAGGGAAGACGGAACCATCCACGATGGCTCTCAATAACGTCTTCCTCTAGTCAAGGATATCAAACTACTGCCCGCATCAGGAGGCCAGACAGCCGGCCACTCAATGTCTTAGCTCAGCACTAAGTGACGTGACTTACCATGGGCACACCATAACACGTGCTCTGAACGTGCTACCTCATAGCTAGTGGAAAGTTATATAAGTCTAATATAATTAACCCACTTATATAAATACTTCTGCCTATACAGGCTATTACATCTCTCGGTCACACCCTCCAAGCTCAGAGGAATAAACTAAACTCAAGAAAAACCCTTTACATATATCTAACCATGTTACAAACATATGTATGTAAACACTAAACTGGGGAAACTGACACCTGTGGTTGAACAGCTATTCAAGCCTTAGTCTGCAATGCCTTATGGAGAGTATATTATGTACAATGGCAAAATTGGAGGATTCTGACTTAAAAGACAAAAACATTACTATATAACTGTCACATTTGCAGTTTAAAAAAAATGTCTTTGACATATTAAAATTAATAACATTATTAACTGCAAACGGAGACAAACAAGGATGTGTACTGGTACTAACTCTCTTTTCCATTTTCAAGGCTGCCTTCCTTACTCGTGCCAGTGCCAATTTAGCCAGCGAGGTGGACATTAAACATAAGACGACTCCAGGCAGGAACAAATGTGTCGGCCGCTTGCATCACTGAACTTGTGTGTGCAGACGACCTCACCCTTGTTGCTCACTATGATCACGAATTACAGGAGATCCAAATCACCTACGCAGATGCGTATGCATACTTCGGCCTTGAGGTTAATGCACTTAAGACTCAGATTCTCTTTCGACCTGCCCCTGGTTCAACCACACACTTCCACCATCCATCTAGCTTAACGGTACTACTGTCTCAAATGATACCCACTTTCAGTACCTTGGCTCCCACTTGTCCACCACTGCGATGAAGAGGTTCAACATCGATTCAGATGTGTATCTCAAGCCTTTGGCAGACTCCGTACCCATTTCTTCAACTGGATGGGACTGAAATTCTCTACAAAATTGCACGTGTATCGAGCAGTGGTCCTCCCTACCCTACTGAAAGACAGCAAGACAGGGGTCACATACAGGAGGCACCTCAAGCCCCTAAAAACTTTCACCAACGTAGTCTACGTTCCATCCTCCGACTTCGCTGGAAAGACAAGAGAACAAATGCCAGTATTTTCGCTGACACCAACTGTAGGAGCATCGAGGCTACTATATCCATGAACAACTACGTTGGACTGGCCATGTTACCAGCATGGACGACAGTAGACTGCCAAAGTAGCTACTTTACAGTCACCTAACGAATAGTAAACGTAATGCTGACGGGCAACTGAAAAGGTATAAGGATAATCTTAAGACAAACCTGAAAAATTGCCAAATCGACCCCCTCACCTGGGAGACGATCATTCCACACCGTAACGCTTGGAGTAGCACCACAAGAGAAAGTGTCAATACTTTCGAATTAACCCGACTACATACTGAGGCAGACAAGTGCCAGCGCCAGAAAGACGCTGCCGCCGCCCCTCTCGCACTAGATGGAGGCCTCATGCGCAACATTGTGGACAACCTTACCGATCACGTAGCGGCCTCGGTCACCACAGCTCATCAACGAAGGTGACATCCTTAATAACTCATATCATTGTATCATAGATGGATTATCGTCATACTCGATTCCGAGTGACAGCAAAGTAGTAGTGGTAGGAGTTAGTCTCCCTGTGTGTGTGTTTGTGTGTGTGTGTGTGTGATCTACGTTTGGCGTGTTCCCTCCACACTAAACGTACACACAATCAGGTAAGTATATTTACAATTTGATGTTTGACAATATGACACAACGGACGAAGGATTTTCACAACTCTACCGAGACAACTGGGGCTGCAATGTTCATTTTGAAATTCATTTGAACACCCAGAGAGATATTTTTATTTTACTGTGTGTACGTTCATCCACCCTTCAGTATTAAGGCAAAAGTGAGTCATGGCTATACATTTCAGTATTTTTGTCCAGGCGCTGCGAAATGCGGTCATCCGGCAATCCTTGGACGGTCAGGTCAACTGGAAGAGGAACCAGGTGGCTGAGAATGAGAAGCTGAAGATGGCCAGAGAAGCTTTGGCCCAGCAATACCAGGTTGAGTGGCAACAGGCCAAGAAAGAACTGACCCAGGATCAAGAGAGTAACAGACGCCCGGCCAAGGAGACGTTGGCCCAAGGGGAAAAGAAGCTGTTGGCCGAAAGGACAGCGGATTATTCAGCCACGAAAAAGGATAGGGTCGAGTCAAAGACCACAGACATGAACAGGGCCGAGTCTAAGACCATGGACACGGACGGGCAGAGAGCTTAAGACCACAGACACGGCCAGGGCAGAACCTAAGACCACAGACAAGGACAGGGCAGAGCCTAAGACCAAAGATACAGACGGCGCAGAGCCACAGACCACAGACACAGCGGGCAGAGCCTAAGACCACAGACACAGACGAAAGGGAGACCACAGACACGGACAGGGTAGGACATAAGACCACAGACAAGGACAGGGCAGAGCCCAAGACGACAGACACTGACGGGACAGAGCCTAAGACCAGAGACACAGACGGGGCAGGGCCGAAGACCACAGACACGGACATGGCAGAGCCTAAGACCACAAACACAGACGGCGCAGAGCCTAAGACCACAGACACAGACGGGGAAGATTCTAAGACCACAGACACGGACAGGAAAGATAATAAGCCCAGGGTCAAGTCGGCAGGAGAGATGGGGGTAAGAACAGCTGCCCAGACCAAAACCCAACGAGGTACCCATACCAGTGAAAGAGTTCAGGAAGAACCCGCCCATCTTCAACATCCAGCACGAGTTTAAGTGAGTCTTCAGGGTATATGGTCTGATGGGTATTAGTTCTTGCGGGTTTAAGGTCTGATGGGTGTTAGTTCTTGCGGGTTTAAGGTCTGATGGGTGTTAGTTCTTGCGGGTTTAAGGTCTGATGGGTGTTAGTTCTTGCGGGTTTAAGGTCTGATGGGTATTAGTTCTTGCGGGGTTTAAGGTCTGATGGGTATTAGTTCCGGGTTTAAGGTCTGATGGGTGTTAGTTCTGCGGGTTTAAGGTCTGATGGAATATTCTGCGGGTTTAACGGATGGGTATTAGTTCTTGCGGGTATAAGGTCGGATGGGTATTAGTTTTGCGGGTTAAGGTCGGATGGGTATTAGTTCTTGCCGGGCTACGGTCGGATGGGTATTAGTTCTTGCGGGTTTACATCTGATGGGTATTAGTTCTTGCGGGTTTAAGGTCGGATGGGTATTAGTTCTTGCGGTATAGGTCGATGGGTATTAGTTCTTGCGGGTTTAAGGTCGGATGGGTATTAGTTCTTGCGGTATAAGGTCGGATGGGTATTAGTTCTTGCGGGTTTAAGGTCGGATGGGTATTAGTTCTTGCGGGTATAAGGTCGGATGGGTATTGGTTTGCGGGTTTCAGGTCTGATGGGTATTAGTTCTGCGGGTTTAGGTCGGATGGGTATTAGTTCTGCGGTGCGGGCGGTCGGATGGGTATGGCTTGCGGTTTAAGGTCGGATGGGTATTAGTTCTTGCGGGTATAAGGTCGGATGGGTATTAGTTCTTGCGGGTTTAAGGTCGGATGGGTATTAGTTCTTGCGGGTATAAGGTCGGATGGGTATTAGTTCTTGCGGGTTTAGGTCTGATGGGTATTAGTTCTTGCGGGTTTAAGGTCGGATGGGTATTAGTTCTTGCGGGTATAAGGTCGGATGGGTATTAGTTCTTGCGGGTTTAAGGTCGGATGGGTATAGTTCTTGCGGGTATAAGGTCGGATGGGTATTAGTTCTGCGGGTTTAAGGTCGGATGGGTGTTAGTTCTTGCGGGTATAAGGTCGGATGGGTATTAGTTCTTGCGGGTTTAAGGTCGGATGGGTATTAGTTTCGGGTATAAGGTCGGATGGGTATTAGTTCCGCGGTATATGGTCTGATGGGTTTCAATCTTGCGCTTATTCGGTGTTACGGGTATATAGTGTTGCGGGTATTAGGTATTGCTGGTATGGGTGCCGGTAGGGTTGCTGGTATTGGGCGTTGTGGAAGTGCGCTGTAGGTATTGGGGTGTTGTGGGTATTTGGGTGTTGCTGGTATTGGGTGTTGCTGGTATTAGGTGTTGCTGGTATTGGGTGTTGCTGGTATTGGGTGTTGTTGGTATTGGGTGTTGTTGGTATTAGGTGTTGTTGGTATTGGGTGTTGTGGGTATTGGGTGATGTGGGTATTGGGTGTTGTGGGTATTGGGTTCAGGTATTGGGTGTTGTGGGTATTAGGTGTTGTTGGTATTGGGTGTTATGGGTATTGGGTGTTGTGGGTATTGGGTGTTGTGGGTATTGGGTGTGTGGGTATTGGGTGTTGTGGGGATGGGTGTTGTTGGTAATGGGTGTTGTTGGTATTGGGTGTTGCTGGTATTGGGTGTTGCGGGTATGGGTTGCTGGTATTGTGTTGTGGATTGGGTGTTGTGGGTATTGGGTGTTGTGGGTATTGGGTGTTGCTGGTATTGGGTGTTGTGGGTATTGGATGTTGTGGGTATTGGGTGTTGCTGGTATTGGGTGTTGTGGGTATTGGGTGTTGTGGGTATTGGGTGTTGTTGGTATTGGGTGTTGTGGTATTAGGTTGTTGTTGGTATTGGGTGTTGTGGGTATTGGGTGTTGTTGGTATTGGGTGTTGTGGGTATTGGGTGTTGTTGGATTGGGTGTAGGGTATTGGTTGTGGGTATTGGGGTGTTGTGGGTATTGGGTGTTGTTGGTATTGGGTGTTGTGGGTATTGGGTGTTGGTATTTTGGTGTTGTGGGTATTGGGTGTTGTGGGTATTGGGTGTTGTGGGTATTGGGTGTTGTGGGTATTGTTGTGGGTATTGGGTGTTGTGGGTATTGGGTGTTGTGGGTATTAGGTAGTATTGGGTGTTGTGGGTATTGGGTGTTGTGGGTATTGGGTGTTGTGGGTATTGGGTGTTGTGGGTATTGGGTGTTGTGGGTAGTTGGGTGTTGTGGTATTGGGTGTTGTGGGTATTGGGTGTTGTGGGTATTGGGTCTCAAGTAATGTATTTCTCACCATCGGTCTCGCCTTTGGTCTCACCCTCGAATAACGTTCAATCTCGTCCTCTATTCTGTACGAATTCGTCCTCGAGTAAAGTATGATATTGTCCTCAGGTTCCCGGTGGTGTCGAGAGATGAGTCTGGGGAGATGGAGGTGGAGGAAAGGCCTGGAGTCCCCCTCGAAGTACGACCTTTTGACCTCAGGAGCCGCCCCGGAGACAACGGTTAGTATCCCCCACCTCCATCCTTTCATCCCCAATGCCCTTATTTGTACAATGGTGCAGTTATACAATGGTACAGTTATACAATGGTACAGTCATACAATGGTACAGTCATACAATGGAACAGTTATACACTGGGGTAGTTGTACAATGGTGCAGTTATACAATGGTACAGTTATACAATGGTACAGTCATACAATGGAACAGTTATACAATGGGGTAGTACAATGGTGCAGTTATACAATGGTGCAGTTATACAATGGTGCAGTTATACAATGGTGCAGTATAAATGGGGCAGTTATACAATGGGGCAGTTATACATTGGTGCAGTTATACAATGGTGCAGTTATACAATGGTGCAGATATACAATGGGGCATTTATACAATGGGGCAGTTATACAATGGGGTAGTTGTACAATGGTGCAGTTATACAATGGTGCAGTTGTACGATGGGGCAGTTATACGATGGTGCAGTTATACAGTGGTGCAGTTATACAAAGTTTCAGTTATACAGTGGTGCAGTCGTATAATGGTGCAGTTATACAATGGTACAATTATACAATGGTGCAGTTATACAATGGTACAGTTTTACAATGGTGCAGTTATACAGCTTTGTTCCACATATGAGTAGCTGTTGTTGTGGTGGTAGTAATGGTGATTGAAGATGGTGATAGAAGTGATAGTAGTGGTAATAGTGACGTATAACGGTAATAGATAGTGGTAATAGTGACATATAACGGTAATAGATAGTGGTAATAGTGACATATAACGGTAATAGATAGTGGTAATAGTGACATATAACGGTAATAGATAGTGGTAATAGTGACATATAACGGTAATAGATAGTGATAATAGTGACATATAACGGTAATAGATAGTGATAGTGACATATAACAGTAATAGATAGTGGTAATAGTGACGTATAACGGTAATAGATAGTGGTAATAGTGACGTATAACTGTAATAGATAGTGGTAATAGTGACGTATAACGGTAATAGATAGTGATAATAGTGACATATAACGGTAATAGATAGTGGTAATAGTGACGTATAACGGTAATAGATAGTGGTAATAGTGACGTATAACGGTAATAGATAGTGATAATAGTGACGTATAACGGTAATAGATAGTGATATAGTGACATATAACGGTAATAGATAGTGGTAATAGTGACGTATAACGGTAATAGATAGTGGTAATAGTGACGTATAACGGTAATAGATAGTTAGTAATAGTGACATAACGGTAATAGATAGTGGTAATAGTGACGTATAACAGTAATAGATAGTAGTAATAGTGACATATAACGGTAATAGATAGTGGTATAATAGTGACATATAACGGTAATAGATAGTGGTAATAGTGACATATAACGGTAATAGATAGTAAGTAATAGTGACATATAACGGTAATAGATAGTGGTAATAGTGACATATAACGGTAATAGATAGTGGAATAGTGACATATAACGGTAATAGATAGTGGTAATAGTGACATATAACGGTAATAGATAGTGAGTAATAGTGACATATAACGGTAATAGATAGTAGTAATAGTGACATATAACGGTAATAGATAGTGGTAAGAGTGACGTATAACGGTAATAGATAGTGGTAATAGTGACATGTAACGGTAATAGATAATTAGTAATAGTTACATAACGGTAATAGATAGTGGTAATAGTGACATATAACGGTAATAGATAGTGGTAATAGTGACATATAACGGTAATAGATAGTAGTAATAGTGACATATAACGGTAATAGATAGTGGTAATAGTGACATATAACGGTAATAGATAATTAGTAATAGTGACATATAACGGTAATAGATAGTGGTAATAATGACATAACGGTAATAGATAGTTAATTAAGAGTGACGTATAACGGTAATAGAATTGGTAAAGTGACGTATAACGGTAATAGATAGTGGTAATGTGACATATAACGGTAATAGATAGTGGTATAGTGACATATAACGGTAATAGATAGTGGTAATAGTGACATATAACGGTAATAGATAGTGGTAATAGTGACATATAACGGTAATAGATAGTGGTAATAGTGACATATAACGGTAATAGATAGTTGGTAATAGTGACATATAACGGTAATACATAGTGGTAATAGTGACATATAACGGTAATAGATAGTGGTAATAGTGACATATAACGGTAATAGATAGTGTAATAGTGACATATAACGGTAATAGATAGTGGTAATAGTGACATATAACGGCAATAGATAGTGGTAATAGTGACATATAACGGTAATAGATAGTGGTAATAGTGACATATAACGGTAATAGATAGTGGTAATAGTGACATATAACGGTAATAGATAGTGGTAATAGTGGTAGTGACATATAAACGGTAATAGATAGTGGTAATAGTGAGTGGTAGTGGTGGTGGTAATTAACCAAATTAATCCATTGAGCTTCGCCTCGATACTACTAATTCTAATTTCCTCTTTCTCCTTATTCTCCTCCTCCTCCTTTTCTCCCTGTTTCTCCTTCTCCATCTTTCTCCTCCCTCTCTCCTGCAATTCTTCTTCCCACACTCCTCCTCCCTTTTCTTTTCCCTCCTTCTCTCCCTCGTTCTTCTTGTCCCCAGAGCGTAAGTCCGGATGTGGTCGGGTGTTCACTGCTCTGACAGGGCTCATCACCTCTCCCGACTACCCATTCTTCTATCCCAACGACATGTACTGCGTCTACAAGATCATAGTGAGTAGTGTATTCAAGGGTGTGTGATCGTACATGACAACCCTGGTCTGCTGAGTGTTTGTTCAGTTATACAAATACGACTCTTCTCGCCTTTGACTACTTCTACTACTACTACTACTACTACTACTCTTTTGGCATCCAATCTCCCCTTATACACACCTTTTCCACTCATTTTATTACCTAACTATCCTAATACATAATTATTTACCCATGCTGAGTTAGTTGATCCACATATTTATCTTTAAGGCATTCGGTGACTTTTGCCTCTTGTGACTGTTGTTGGTTTATATCTTGTTCCCCTGAGACACAGCAGAGCAGACCTGAGCAAGAAAGATAGGCCGACACCTCATCCAGCCTGCAACGTAACTTATGGGTTGCTACTTCTGTTCTGATAACACTTCAGCCAGTCTGACGTAGAAACACCTTACTCTTGGTCCCTGATGTCGTGAACATCAGAGGAGTAAGGCTGCCTTGGTCCACATTCTAGATTATCTCTCCATACACTACGTTCTTTTCGTTCTCGTTCATACTGTGTGCACGCCTCGAGAGACAGGACATTGTGACAAGCAGCGAGGGGATTGAATATATCAAAAAAGGCCCGCTGTCTGCCGTCCAAAATACTCGAGCCTTACTCTGGCTACGTTGGTGGTGTTGGCAGTCCTGTGATTGAAGTGCTTTCCATTCACTGGGAGGGGAGGGGGGGAGGGGGTTGGCTCTTCAGTGAAGTCATGGCATATCTTCTTCAACATATTTGCTGCCAAGTCCCTTCTTGCACACTATGGCATGGTTGATGTCGGAGGATGTTCCACACACGCATTGAGCGGGCATGCCTTCCACTGGCCAACCGTACTGTAAATTCTTGTTTGCTGAGGCTGAGAACCTTTGTTCTTATCGATAGAGTTGTTAGCCATTTTGAGGCGCCCACCTCATGCGCTACCTTTACTTTTTTCTTTACGATCTCGGACAGTTGTTGCATTATTGTTGAAGTTTGTCACTTTGGGTGTGTTGCCATTTTGTTGAAAGGGAGCATCAGATTTTGTGTAGTTCGTTGGTGTCTACCTCACTTGCTGCATTGAATTTATTACAGTATGTGCTCAGTGAGACCTGCCGTGAGCTTGACAGATGTTCAGCGGCATCAAGCTCCTCTGGGTTAGTGATTCCCATTCCTCCTTGTCTCGGTGGTAGTGCAAGGAGTAATCCTTCTGTTGGGGTAAAGTGGTGGATTTTCACTAGTGATGGAATAAATGTGTTCCTGGTGGATTCTTCTAGAGGACGGAGGAGAAGCTCGATGTCAGGGATAGTGCACATCAGGCAGTGGCTCAGTCTTAGCAATTTCCGACTACTTCTACTACTTTTTTTATGGCCTCCAACCTCCCCTTATAGCCATACCCTCTCCACATATTTTATTACCTAACTATCCTAATACAAAAGTAACTACCCCCTAGTAGGGTGTAATATACGGAGGCGATTTTTTTTTTGAGTTTGAAAAATCGGCCCATGGTATTAATGATGAAGTTCGGCGCAGAATCATGTGATACTAGATTTGAAAAAGCCATTTTTGCTAGGTAAATTTAACTATGAACTCTATGAAAATATTCAGTATTCCCACCCTTTACCAACACCACTCAAATAGCTATTGAAAGTAAAAGTAAATGTATCAGGTTAATTTATTAGATGAAATGATCCAGAATAGTGAAACGAATGATCTTGACATTTATTAAATTTAATATTCCTTTAGAAACAAAAATCATCAAATACAAAACCGGTTTTACTACTACTAATTCGGTGTTGCTGCACACCATAGAGAACAACATGTTCTTTCTTGCTTCTGTTTCTACTCATCACCTCCTGCTGACCACCTGAGCTCGGATGTAGCCTTCGCCTCTCCTGGCTGTACACGTGACTGCTGGCCTCAGCTCACTTGCTGCACACAACGCTCATACCTGGGTGCAAGTGAGGCCAGGCAGGACATGCATGGGGTTGTCCAGAAAGCCCTTGACTTCACCATTGGTGAGAAGCTGCAGGTAAGAGGTGGGCTCACTGCCAACCTGGATGTTATCCAGATCTATGAGATCAGTGAGGGTCTTGGCACCTAGATTGACTTCAGGAGTCTTCCTGACCCTGAAGGAATCGTCACCAACTGATTCGTCATGCCCAGATCCTCTCATAAGTCTCATATCCAAGATCTTTTTGACTGCCACTCTTCTCTCCTCCTCATCCTTACTGCAGAGCATTGTCTGCAGAACTGCCTCAGGATGAGCATACCAGGAAGATCTCCTCACAGTCTGCTCCACAATCTGAACAACCTTCCTTGGCTGACTCCTCAGGAGCTCAAGCTGGAAGAGAGCATGCCTCGGACCTTCGGAGAACGATGACTTGACCTTGGTGTTGAACCAATTTGGCAAGTAGACACTCACGATGAATTGGACAATAAGTCTCAGGTTGTGAAGCTGGTTCCCTTTCAGTTTATGATGGGCGACCCAAATTCTGCAGAACCTGAGAGCGTTGTGAGAGCCACCTAGAATGTGAGACTGGACCTATCTGCAGGTAGAAAACAGAGTCCTATCAGGCATGACCCCAGTTTTGATGGCACTGCAAATCATGTAACCATAGTACTGGTCAGTACTCAGGTCGTCAATGACAGTATGTGCAAGCTCAACGAGTGGAGGGCCAACTGTGATTTTTTCAAAGCTCGGATTTATTTCTAACTCAGTGGCAGAGTCCAGCATCTTGCCAAGAGGACCAGACCATCTGTTGTTTGAAAGTCTTGCCATCCAGCTCCTGGATCAGATGTCTGAGTGGCAACTCGTTGGTGTGGAGGTCACAAACAATCCAGACCAGCTTCTTCCCAATCTTCCGCTCTATCCACTGTATGACCCCCCCCCTTGCCACCCTGTGTTCGTGTTGGTGCTGTCCCCTCCAATGGCCCTGCAGGGGTCTGGTCTACGTTCCTCTCTCTGAGCCAGTTCACAATGTTATCTGCCACCTATCTCAGCTGGTTTCCTGATGTCATCTTTCTCTGGAGTGAAATACCTAAATACTTCCCTCCTGGTTCACTGCAGCAGGGTGGTGTTCCTCCTTCACCATGGCAGGGAACAACTTGTCCAGAATCTCCAACTTTCATGAACACTTTAGTGTCATCCCTTCTCCCATCAAAGAACAAACAATTGATTCCATTTCTCTTATCCCCTTATCAAACTCCTCTTCTAGGTTACTGACAAGTTTCTCCTGAGCTCTCCTTACTTTGTTATGATCTATCACCAGGTGAACATCATCAGGTGTTATCAAACCACCGTCAGTCCAGGCAGCTGTTGCTATCTCTGCAGTTTCTCTGAGACCAGTGTGGTGTCGCATGCTGGCCAGAGCTATGCTCGGGATATCTTTCCTATTTCGAATCTTATGCCTGGAAGGTTTTGGGATCATTATTTTTCTGGAGTTTGGGGACAAAGTCACCATTCTCCTGATCAGCACTCGGATCAGCCATGGGGAAGTCATTAAACTCTGAATCAGCTTGGCTCAATCATCGGCCTTTTACCTCACCTAAGGCACTTCCTCAGTCTCTTTCCTCAACAGCTCTTCTCCTCTTCTGTCTCTCTGTGGCAGCCTCCTGTCTCTTGGACTCCGGAATATCTTGGCTAGAAATCATGAGAGCCCCTATACTGCCAGTCTTCTCTCTCTGTGCTTTAACAAATGCCAGTTCGATCACAGGAATCTTCAGTTCACGCTTGCAAATACAGGAGATGTGGGCCTCGGATTTACAGTCACGATCGCATCCAAACTCAGGACAGAGAACAATTGGGCACTTGCAAGTAATTATGTTAAATAACTGGTCCAGTTGCTTGGCAAAGCTGTCCTTAACTGCAAGTTTTCCTCTCCCAAGAGATATATCTCTTGCCTTTTCCCAACTGGCTAGCAGTCTCTCACTAATCTTCTTCTGACTTGTTATGACTGGAGGCTTGAACTGAGCGTTAGCCAGAGTGTACTGTGCCAAGACAGCTTTTGGTCATATCACTGGCAATGTCTTTGTTTGTGTAAGTTCTTTTGGTTCTTTTCACTGATTTGCCTGATTAAAACACCGTATCTCAAAGCATCTCTCTCAATGTAGGCAACTCCGACTTCAGGGCTCTCTCTCCCAGACCCAAAGGTAGTGACTGAGATGGCTGGATTTTTGGTTCCTCGTCCTGACTGGCAGCCATCGCAAATATTATCAACTTATAAATGCATCAGAATCTGAAACAGAAAAAAATATTGTTAGTTGGGTTGTTAAAGAATGAAGTCAGAAAGCAATGTTCACTATTTAATTGTAATGCACTAATGCAGCTGTACGTTAGATTTTCGATAAATTTCACGCTAAAATTTACCTAGTAAAAGGTTGCAAAATATTGAAACAGAAATTATTTTCTGTTTATATACACTAAAATCTACCAAAAAAGTGATGGGCCATTAGTTTTAGCTGATCTTCCCTCCTATGACACACCCTACTACCCTAGTTGAGTTAGTTAAGCCGCATATCTATGCGACATTCAGTGACTGTTGCCTCATAGTCCATGTCTGCGACTGTTGTTGGCTTAGAGGCCGATGATCTTGTTTCTCTGAGGCAAAACAATGTAGACCTATGTAGAGAGAAGGGCAAGCAACATCTCAACCAGGCTGCGAACACCAGAGGAGTGAAGCTGCTTTGATCCACATTCTGGATTCTCTTGGCTACGCCCTGTTCTTGTCGTTCTCGTTCCTCCTGTGTACAACCTCGAGAGACGACGACTGCTGCTGCTGCTGCTGCTGCGGCAGTGGCGGCGGTGGCGGTGACGGCAATGCCGACGGCAGCGGCGACAGAAAATGGTGACATAACAGCTATTCTTAAGCCTTTGAACATCTTATATCTTTGAGTTAAAATGTAAGATATAGTTCCAGAGAGAGAGAGAGAGAGAGAGAGATAACACATGACCTGTCCCCAGCTGCCAGAGGAGTACACAATAGGGCTGGACTGCGCCTACATAGAGATACAGCCTGGTACCCACGGGTGCGAGAACGACTACCTCTCTGTGTCCGACAATGGGCCCGTGGAGGTGAACGGCCCACAGGAAGAAGGAGAATCTAGGTGAGTGCAGTGCCGTTCCCTGTCAGAGTGGGTGTGTGTGGGTGAGTGGTTGACTGAATGTATGGGAGCAAGTGAGTGGATGGGTATGGGTGTGTGGTTGGGTGAGTGGATGGGTAAGTGAGTGCATGATTGGGTGAGTCGATTTGTGTGGATGTGTGGTTGAGAGTGGACGGATGTGGGTGTGTGGTTGGGTGAGTGGATGGGTGTGGGTGTGTGACTGGGTGAGTGGACGGGTGCAGGTGCGTGGATGGGTGAGTGGACGGGTATAGGTGTGTGGTTGGGTGAGTGGATGGGTGTGGGTGTGTGGTTGGGTGAGTGGATGGGTGTGGGAGTGTGGTTTGGTGAATGAATGGGTGTGGGTGTGTGGTTGGGTGAGTGGATGGGTGTGGGTGTGTGGTTTGGTGAATGAATGGGTGTGGGTGTGTGGTTGGGTGAGTGGATGGGTGTGGGGAGTGTGGTTTGGTGAATGAATGGGTGTGGGAGTGTGGTTTGGTGAATGAATGGGTGTGGGTGTGTTGGGTGAATGAATGGGTGTGGGTGTGTGGTTTGGTGAATGAATGGGTGTGGGTGTGTGGTTGGGTGAGTGGATGGGTGTGGGTGTGTAGTTGGGTGAGTGGATGGGTGTGGGAGTGTGGTTTGGTGAATGAATGGATGTGGGTGTGTGGCTGGGTGAGTGGATGGGTGTGGGTGTGTGGTTGGGTGAGTGGATAGGTGCGGGTGAGTGGTTAGGTTAGAGTGGATGAGTGTGGATGCGGAAGGTTTGGTGTAGATAGATAGATTCCAAGCACTAAATTAGGTTCAAAACCTCGAGGTACAAAATGAGACTAAAGTTTAGACACTGTTGACAAGGCCACAAATTTGATTCTAAATTTCAGACTACTGGAATGATTAGGCCCTGAATTAAATTCTGAAAGATTTAGATTATAAAAGGTCTTGGAAATTGCTAAAACCATGTGCTCTGAATTAGACTCTGCAAGACAGAGTTAGACTGAAAAAAACTCAATTCAGCCTCTAAAAAGATGTGAATCTGACTCTAAAAAGGCTCTCAATTAGAATCTGAATTTCAGGTACTGTGGTGACAAGTCCCAGGCGTTCTACTCCTCCAGCAGTAACATGACGCTCGTGTTCAAGAGCGACAGCACCTACAGTTACAAGGGGTTCATGTGTCGCTACCGGGCACTAAATGCTAACGGCACAGGTACAGTATACGTCCCTCTCCCCTCTGTGGCTTGTGCGGAGTATCGTAATGAACTAAAATGACAAAAAAAAATTGCTGGGTAATCATCCCGTGGCAGTATCGTATAAACAACTAAAACAACACAAATAATTATCGTACCTAGAGAGTATCGTAATAAAACAAATTACCCAACTATCCGACCAGTAAAATTAAACCATATTAAAAACCGATTTACGAGGATCATTGAATAAATCATATGTTAATTACGCGGTAATGAACGGATTACCTCGTCCACTTAGAGGATTAACTTATCGTACATCAAGACTTTCATGTTTGTAATGTTTAGGTCATAGTAACATAATGTTTAGGTTATAGTAACACAATGTTTAGCTTATAGTAACACAATGTTTCGGGCATAGTAACAATGTTTAGGTCATAGTAACCGTGTATAGGTTATAGTAACACAATGTTTAGGTGAGAGTAACACAATGTTTAGGTCATAATAACACAGTGCTTAGGTCATAATAACAGTGTTTAGGTCATAATAGCAGTGTTTAGGTCAGAGAATCACAATGTTTAGGTTATAGTCACACAACGTTTAGGTCATAATAACACAGTGTTTAGGTCATAATAACAGTGCTTAGGTAACAATAACAGTGTTCAGGTAATAAATAACAGTGTTTAGGTAACAATAAGTGTTTAGGTCAGAGTAGCACAATGTTTAGGTTATAGTAACACAACGTTTAGGTCATAATAACACAGTGTTTAGGTCAAAGTATCACAATGTTTAGGTCATAATAACAGTGTTTAGGTCATAATAACAGTGTTTAGGTAACAATAACAGTGTTTAGGTCATAATAACAGAGTTTAGGTAACAATAACAGTGTTTAGGTCATAGTAACAATGTTTAGGTGATAATAACAGTGTTTAGGTAGCAATAACAGTGTTTAGGTAACAATAACAGTGTTTAGGTAACAATAACAGTATTTAGCTCAGAGTAGCACAATGTTTAGGTTATAGTATCACAACGTTTAGGTCATAATAACACAGTGTTTAGGTCATAATAACAGTGTTTAGGTAACAATAACAGTGTTTAGGTCATAGTAACAATGTTTAGGCTATAATAACACAGTGTTTAGGTAACAATAACAGTGTTCAGGTAACAATAACAGTGCTTAGGTAACAATAACAGTGTTTAGGTCAGAGTAGCACAATGTTTAGGTCATAATAACAATGTTTAGGTAACAATAACAGTGTTCAGGTCATAGTAACAATGTTTAGGTGATAATAAAACAGTGTTTAGGTAACAATAACAGTGTTTAGGTCATAATAACAGTGTTTAAGTAAAAATAACAGTGTTTAGGTAACAATAACAGTGTTTAGGTCATAATAACAGTGTTTAGGTCAGAGTAGCACAATGTTTAGGTTATAGTGACAATGTTTAGGTCATAGTAACACAATGTTCAGGTCATAGCAACAATGTTTAGGTGATAATAACACAGTGTTTAGGTCATAATAACAGTGTTTAGGTCATAGTAACAGTGTTTGCTCCACAGGTGCCGATATTATAGTCTCCAACGTCACCAAAGAGCAACACCAGGTCATCTGCACAGGCCCTGGCGAGTGAGTATTGGTGTGTGTGTGTGTGTGTGTGTGTGTGTGTGTGTGTGTATTGGTGTGTGTGTGTGTGTGTGTATTGGTGTGTGTATGAGAGAGAGAGAGAGAGAGAGAGAGAGAGAGAGAGATACACAAAAACTAAAGGAAAACGAAAGAATGACAGAGATGAGAAAGATATGACTGGGTGAGGACGCACACAAAATACCATTGTTAGTGATGAAACTCACCAAGTTTTCTATGACAGTCAAGGATGGGCGGGACGGTGCGGGGAAGCCTTCGGTGTTAATAGAATCGTGGGCGGCGCGACGACCCAGGAGCACCAGTTCCCTTGGATGGTAATACCTTTAATTATATAATGTGACTGTTAAAATTACTATTGGTACTACTACTTTTATTACTACTAATATTATTATTAAAACTACTATTGGTGCTACTACTATTATTACAACTACTATTGGTGCTATTACTACTATTATCAAAACTACTATTGGTGCTTCCATAACTGCATGTATAGTAAATGCTACCCCTACTATTATTGCTGATACTAATTGTTTCCAAGGGTTCAGAGTTAAATGAGTAACTAGAATAAGTTCATTAATAGTATAACTAACTCAAATAGACACTTCATATTATTATTATTATTATTATTATTATTATTATTATTATTATTATTATTATTATTATTATTATTATTATTATTATTATTACCTTCGGAACGACACAAAGATATTGGGAAGGGTAACAGGTCAAGATGATGTCTCAACCATGACAAAAAATCTGCACGAGCTGTTCAAATGGTCTCAGGACTGAAAAATGCAGTAACGCGCGTATCTCTCCTACTTGGCCCGAGCACTACCAAACATCACAGGTTTCCCGGACTATGGTTACCTCCTGTACTAACATTGGATAGACCAACCACCCGAACGACGAGTAAGTTGATAAGTGGTGAAAATTACAACTATTATGTTTATAAAAATTTTCTAGATACTGTTGATAAGGAAATAGATCTAGGGGTTGTGATAGAGCACTATTAAAGGCAACGCAACAATTGGGGGCAGCAGTGAAAAAAGCCAGCCAAGATTTAGGAATTATAGAGAGTTACAGTCACGACAAAAAGATCAACTCCTCCCTCGGCCTCCCAAACTGAACCAGTATCGACCCCAAATGAGATATAACTGTTCACCCGTACCCGACTAACAACTCTACAGACAAGAAACAAAATGCATATCTCATAGGGACATTACAAAAATCTTGAATGGGCTGGAAAACATGAACCCGAGCCATTTTTTCGTGATGTAATGCATCATCAACACGAGGGGACATAACTTGAAGCACGGCAAGATATCATGCAGAACGAACATAGTGAAATACTTCTTCACACAGAGGCTGGTAGATGTGTGGAACGGTCTACCAACCCAAGCTGTGGAATCGAGAAGAGTACTGGGTTCAAAAGGAGCCAAGCCAAGGCTATCAAGAACAATGAAAACACACACACACACAGATAGGTAGATAAGTTTAGCGAACACACAAAATTACATACATACATACATGCTGTCACACGGAATCGAGTATGACGATCATCCAGCTATCGTAAAATGATATGGGATATTAGGGATGTCACCTAGGTTAGTGAGTTTTGAGGTGACTAAAGAGGCTGCGTCGTCCACATTCATTGCACATGTGAAGGGTTCCATCTACTGTGGGAGGAGCGGTAGCAGCGTCTTTCCGACGTTGGCGCTTATCTGCCTTGGTTTGCAGTCGGGCTAACTCGAAAATATTGACACCTTCCCGTGTGTTGTTCCTCCAAGCGTAACGATGTGGAGTAATCGACTCCCAGGTGAGGAGGTCTATTTGGCTTCTTTTCAGGTTTGTATTATGACTATCCATATACCTTTTCAATTGCCCGCCAGCGTTACGTTTACTATTCGTTAGGTGACAGTAAAGTAGCTGCTTTGGCAGTCTACTGTCATCCATGCGGGTAACATGGCTAGTCCAACGTAATTGTTCATGGATAATGGTAGCCTCGATGCTCCTACAGTTGGTGTCAGCAGGAATACTGGCATTTGTTCTCTTGTCATCCCAGCGAACTCGGAGGATGGGACTACGTTCGTGAAAGTTTTCAAGTGCCTTCAGGTGCCTCCTGTATGTGCCCATGTCTCACTGCCATATAGTAGGGTGGGCAGGACCACTGCTCGATATACATGCAACTTTGTGGATAATTTCAGCTCCCTACAGCTGAAGACACGATTTCGGAGTCCGCCCAAGGCGTGAGATGCACATCTGATCCGAAGCTGAATTTCTTCATCGATCTGTGCGGTGGTGGACAGATGGGAGCCGAGATACCGAAAGTGGGCAACATTAGAGAGGGTAGTACTGTTAAGCTGGATGGATGGTGGAGGTGTGTCTGAACCAGGGGCAGGTTGAAACAGAATCTGAGTCTTATGTATATTCACCTCAAGGCCGAAGTGTGCATATGCGTTTGCATAGGTGTTCAGAATCTCCTGTAGGTCGTGTTCTGTGTGAGCAACAAGGGTGAGGTCGTCTACATACTGAAGTTCACTAATGGAAGCTGCCAACACCTTTGTTCTTGCCTGGAGTCGTCTTATGTTGAAAAGACCCCCTTTTACCCGGTACTCGATGTTCACCCCGCTGGCTAGATTGGCACTGTCACCAGTAAGGAAGGCAGCCAAGAAGATGGAAAAGAGAGTCGGTGCCAGTACACACCCTTGTTTAACCCCTGGTTGGATGGGGAAGAACTCTGACTGGGTGCCGTTGTGCAGAACACTGCCGTTCATGCCATCGTGGAGTTGCCTCACAATGGCGATGAATTTTGGTGGGCAGCCAAAACGGCTGAGGGTCCACCAGAGGGCTTCCCTGTTGACCGAGTCGAAAGCCTTGATTAGGTCGATGAAGACCATGCACAGGTCACGACACTGTTCTCTGCACTTTTCCTGTATCTGGCGGGCAGCAAAGACCATGTCAATGGTGCCAGTGATGGTATAAAACCACATTGAGATTCTGAGATGAAGTTGTCAGCCTCACGAAGAAGTCTGTTTAGGAGGACTCGGGATATAATCTTGCCAGCTACGGAGAGCAGCGAGATCCCACGGTAGTTGCCACAATCTGACCGGACCCCCTAGTTCTTATAAATATTGACAATGGAGGCAACTTTAAGAGCTTGGGGGATTTCCTCCTTTTCCCATATATTCTCCATGAGAGAGTAGAGACGGCTGGTAAGTAGAGGTCCTCCTGCTTTATACACCTCGGCTGGGATTCCATCAGGCCCTGAGTCTTTGTTATTTTTCATCTGTTTGATGGCAGTAGCTACCTCATCCAGGGATGGAGGATAGCTGAGTTGGGTCAGCTCTGGATGTTGAGGGACCTGCTGGGTAGTCTGGACATCCACATCGGTGTTTCAGTTGAGCAATGAATGGTAGTGCTCTTTCCAGTGCGGAAGGAGGCCTTCATAGTCTTTAATTATGTGGTGACCGTCAGATGAGCGAAGGGGGGGCTGTGCCACGAGTGACTGGCCCATAAAATGTTTTAGTGGAAATGAAAAATTCGCACATATTGTGCTCATCTGTAAGTTTTTGTGCTACACATGCTTTATTTTTAAGCCAGTTGTTCTTTAGATTGTGAAGTTCCTGCTGGGCTGCCGCTTTCTTCTTGCGGAAGGTATCAGTTTGGTCCGAGACTGAGGGTTGTTCTGCCAGTCAGTAAAAGCAGCCCGTTTATCATCGATGTGTACTTTGATTGCCGCGTCATTTTCATGAACCCATTCCTGGTGTATTCTTTTGTACTGGCCGAAGGTCTCTCTGCAGGTCTTTGTCATAAAAAGTATTAAGAGTATCCCATTCGACACTGGGATTCACGTTGATTGCTGTTGGGTTGTTTATAAGCCCATGATCGAGCTGCTCTCTGAAAGCATGTGATACCACTGGATCCTCCAGACGCTTAATATTAAAACCTCTTCAGGAGGCATGCTGCCTTCGCCGCTTTGGGGCAACGTGAAGTGAGAGCTTGGACCTGACAAGTCGATGATCAGTGTCACAGTGATCTGAGCCACGCATGATACGGGTGATGAGGACATCTCGGTGATCTCTTTCTCTGACAGTGATATAGTCAATGAGATACCAGTGTTTGGCTCGTGGGTGTTGCCACGATCCCTTGAACTTGTCGGCCTGCCTAAACAAGGTATTGGTGATATGAGGTTGTGAGCAGCACACTTGCTGAGAAGGAGTAGGCTGTTGGGATTACACTTACCTAGTCCATTTCTCCCTATGGTTCCCTGCCAATTGTCAGCATCTCTGCCAACTCTGGCATTGAAGTCGCCAAGGAGCACAACCTTGACTTCTCTGGGGATAGAGATTAGCACTCTGTCGGTCAGCATAAAGGCCTCCTTGATGTCATCCTTTGCATCCAGTGTTGGGGCGTATGCACTGATGAAGAAGGCATGACGTGTGTGATTTAGTGAGACTCGAAGCGTCACGAGGCGCCCGTTGATCCCAAAAGGCATTTCAGTTAGCCTGTGTAGGATGCGTTGGCAGATGGCAAAGCCAACTCCATAAATGTGGTTTCTCTCCACAGCAGACTTACCCTTCCAGAAGAAGGTGTAGCCAGACCCCCGTTCTGTGAGTAGGCCCTCATCTGGGAGCCGGGACTCACTGATGGCTGCTATGTCGATGTTATACCTAGACAGCTCTTTTCCCACAGGGACAGTTCTTCCATACAGCGACCATAAGAGGTTGTATGGTTTGTTTTTGTTTGGATCTGTGATTCTGATTGTATTTTCGACCGCATAAGGATGACCTTACTGGGTGCGGTTGCCCAGTCAGGTTAGGTTTTTAGGCAGGCTATGTTTAGGGCATCTTTCCTAGTCCCCTCCCCTCTTGCGGTGAGCAGAGTGGCTCCTCGTAAGAGCTGCTCAGTCGCACAGACTGGACCGGATTGCACTGCTGCCTAGATCCCAGTGCATAAAGACCATCTTTTCTGTGCTGCTCATGTGCAGAGTTGTGACTAGAGACTCCCGGCAGTCATCTCTGCCTGTCCCCGTCGCGTCTCGTCTGCCGCCATAGGACTTTTGGGGTGTATAAGAGGTTTGATGATGATGAGTGGTATGATGAACTGGGTGATGGCTGCACGTGAGTTGATTTATGTGGTGAGGCAGGAGCGCAGGCTGCAACCACACATCTTGGCTCTCCCTTTTCCTGATCCAGTGATGCAAGTGTTGCAATGACTGGGGAGAGGGAGAGTTCCAATGGACTGCCATTAGCCCAGTTTGTTGGGTTTCGCCTTAGTAACCTGTCCAGTAGGCATTGCCTTCGTCCACCAGTGT